TGCATGCTGAATATGTGTCAGCCAATCCACACACGTGTGTGTGTGTGTGTGTGTGTGTGTGTGTGTGTGTGTGCTCGTGCACGCCTGTGCAGACTTATGAATGCAGAGGTCCTGGGAACTCAAGGACTTGGCCTCCCCTTGCTTCCAAAACCACAAGGCCGCTGGCCGGCCTCAAGCCTCGGTTTCCTCAAGGCCCAGAGAGGCTGATGAGAAACAGATCCGACTGAGCTGCCCATGGGCATGGGCGGCTCAGTAACCCATTGGCCTGAGGGCTTGTCTTCTCCTGGGATCTGGGTGACCTCAGACCACTGAGGGCCCCCTTTGGGCCTTCCCCATCATGGATGCAGAGAAGCAGTTCGTGAGGCAAGGGCTGCCAGGCTGACCCGAGATGAAGCTGGTGAGCCCCTCTGCCAGGGAAGCCACCCGCCTGCCTGCCCTCCACCGTTGCCATGGCCTCTGGAGGGATGCCAGAGGTACCAAATGTTCCTCAATGAATGAGGGGAGGAAGTGGCTGAGGAGAAATCTCCCTTTCCCAAAGGAGTGGTGCCCCCCTGCCCCAGGCGGCATAGAGGGTGCCCTGGAAGAGGGGAAGGAGGGTCTCTTAGGTCTGAGTTTCTTGGAGTCAGAGCACAGATCTCCTGCATCACAGTCAGTCACGATGTGGTGGTTAGGAGCTTCCTGAGAATACAGCTTCCTGGGACTGCCCCTGTCCCCAAGAAGTCCTGACTGAGCAGGCCTGGGGTGGGTTAGGAAACCTGCATTTGTTACAAGTGCCCCAGGTGACCCAGGATGGCACAAACAGAGCAAAGTGTAATATTTAAGAGACCAGGTTTTGGAGACCTGAGTTTGAATCTCCAATCAATTTCTCCCCATCCTTAAAGTTGGGTTAATAATATGACTTCATAGAGATAACGGCGAGTCACAGATGCTCAGCACATGGTAGAAACGATAACAGCAATACTAACAGTGACAGCGGTCGACCGCAACCCAGCACTGCCTGTGTGCCGAGTCCTCTCTGTCATTACAGGACTCATATCCAGGAGGATGGGGTACTGAGTGCAGGACCCACCCCTGCTGTCCCTTACCTCATACATGGCAGACAGGAAGACCCCCTCCTGTGGGTACCCTGTGGGCTCTGGGCATAGCCCCACAGCTGCCCCTGTTCACCTAGCCAGCACTCCCAGAAGGCCCTGCTCTCTTGGGAGATGCAGCCCAGAGCCCCCAGGAGCCAGACCTGCTTTCCTCCAGGCTAATTGGCTAATCATCTGCTGCCTTGATAGCGGGAGGTCTAGACATGACTGCTCCCAGGGCCGGGCGCTCATTCTGCCCACCTCCCTGGTCCCTCAGAGCAAAAGGAAGGATTAACATGCAGGCTGGATTTGCTCACCTAATTCCTTATCGAGCCCCTGTCCTCTGACAAGAGAGGGCAGACAGTTTCTTTCTCAGGCGAAGGACCCTGGGAGGCCTCTGGACAGGAGGAGGGAGGGAGGGAGATGCGGTGAGAACAGGAAGGGAGGACAGCTGTCCCTCCATCCTTGCCTGCCCAGCCTCACCCACCCCTCCCTGCCAGGGAGTACAGCCACTGACCGGAGTCACCTCAGCTGGCCCTGAGGCCCCCGGGAGAGGGCCCCCAAACAACCTTGGATAGGAAACTCCAGTGAGGGCTGGTGGCTGACCCAACCGTTAAATGAGATGGAGCCTGCTTTGAACCCAGGTCTCCAGCACTTAGCTCCAGGGCACCTCATCTCCTGCCAGTGGGGCAAAGGCAGAGAAAACATTCCATGAGGCCTCAGGCTGGAGTCTCACTGGCAGAGGAGTTAGGGAGTACAGGCTGCAGCGTGTGGGCCCCACCAGGGAGAGAAGGTAGGAGGGGGACAAGGTAGGAAGGAGCTGGTCGCTCAGGGAGTCCACTGCAATGGGGAGGGATGGTTTGGGCCACTGGGGACGTCAGAGACTCCAGCAAGGAGGGCTCTGGGGAAAGATGAGAGACGTGAGGCCTCAGCCCAGAGAAGAGAAGGTGTGGGTGAGGAGTACTGCTACCGCGCCTAGTCTCTGCATGAGTTACTCCATTCACTCAATCTCATTATGGTAACAACCGCCATATTATAATTCCCATACACAGATGAGAAAACTGAAGTCTACAAAGTCTCTAGAACTTACCTAAGTTCACACAGCTGGTAATGAGCAGAGTAGTGAACAGCCTGCCCTGGCACCCAGCTCTGGAGGGGGTCCCAGGTCACTTCCCCCAGGGCAGAAGATAGGCAGAAGTCCATCTCCCTCTCCATCCTTCAACCCCTACCCTCAACCTGCTAAATGCAGGTGTCAGGTAAGGATCCAAGTCTCAGCTACCAGCCTCCCACCAGCCCTCACCTCCCGTGCTGCCTGTCCCCATGCTAGGAGCTGCTCAATCTCCCCCTCCTCCAGGAAGCTCCCTGACCATCCCACCCCTATGGCCTCTGCCAGACCTCCAGAGCCGGCCCTGTATTTGCCAAGATGCAGGGCATTGTTTCCTGGTCTCCTGGGGTGACTGCACAATGCAGGGCTTTGCATGGGCTCCAGACTCACACAGCTCTGGCTTTGAAACCCAGCTCTCCGCTGTGCATCGTTGGACAACCTGTGCCTCAGTTTTCTCATCTATAAAACAGGACTAATAATGGCACTGACTCAAAGTAGGTAAAGATTTAGAGATACCACAGGTGAAGGAGTCACTCCGAAAGGGATAAAACAAGGCTTGAAAAGTGTGTGTGCTCTCTATGACGTCCCAGGACATACGAATGGCAGTTAGAACCAGAACTTTAGAGCTAGGAGGATGAGGCCCACATTAGAGGGTGCCCCAGGTCTCTGGACTCCTGGATCAGCGTTCCTATGCCTTGGCCATGAAGTTATGGGGTCTCCATGGTTGTGAGCGCTCAGAACCAGGCCCTGGAAGCACGCCCTTCCGGCTCCCATGCTCCCGCAGGGGCTGTCTCCACCTGTCCCTGGTGGTCTGTCTCGGGCGTGGGCCTGTTTGCAACCGGCGCCTATCGCCTGCTGGCCTGAGTGCACCTGTAGTGCCTCGTCCCAGCCTGGTGAGTCAGCCCTTGGCAGGCCTTGCGGCAGCCACTCCACATAATCTTAAGCCTGAAAGAGGACCTTTCTTTTTGCTTTTCTCCTCCTTCCTCCCTCCGCTCTCCGTGAAGTGGTCATCTCTGCAGGGCAGCTGGGAACAGCATTCTCTGCCAGGATTTCTTGAGTCTCCTTAGTCAGGAGACAGGGTGGGGCCTCGGAAACAAAGACAAGGCAGCCTAGCGCTGGCCAAAGCCCCTGAGCTGCTTTAGGACGCTGCTTGTGCCCCCTGACTCCCTGCTTCCAGTGGGGGCATCTAAGTCAGGGCAAGTGCGGTGTCACTTCAGTTATCCAGAACCCACGTATCTGACAACCTCAACCATCCAGACTGAGAGCCGAGATAAAAAGGCTTCTGAGGAGATGCTCTCAACAGCTGTCTGACAGTTAAACTTTACTGATCTATTTTTCCCCAACCTGAATCAGAGCCTATCTGCTCTTACCTTACACACTATTCTTGTATGCCTGGTTATCTAATTTACATATGTATTAACGGTTTTTTTTAATCTATGCAAATAGGTCATTTATTAAACCTCTGTCCCATAAATGCTCTTAACTTTTAGATGTTACATTACCAAGTCTTTGAACAGGAAAACAAAAATTTCCAAGGGGTAAATAAATAGGAAAAACTCTCTGTGAAACATTGTGGATATTAATCATAGTATTTCATACCAGTTTATTCCCACCCCCACCACAGATGGGTTTGAACCTTTTTAGTGAAGACTGTATTATTTTATCTTCATAAACGTTTTCTTTTATTTATTATTATTTTTTTAATCAATGCTTTTTTTTAAATGAAGAGAATTTTTACCTATCCACTTGGAAAGTGTTGTAAATGCAGTTCATTAACAAAAATCTCTGCAAATAAACACTTATGACGAGGTGACTTAAGCTGGCTTGACCGCACTATTTCAGCTTCAGGATTCATATTTCATGACTGAAAACAGTGAGCAAAAGTTTTAAACTAGGATTGGATTACCTCATCTAGTAAGTGGAAATGATAATGCAATCCATGTTCTAGAGCGGGTTGGGAGAATTAAATGGCATAACGCGTAGAGCACTTAACACAGTGCTTGGCAATTAGCTCTAAATAAATGTTCGCTATCAGTTTTGGTATTAGTATTACAGTGAGCAGTAGAATTAGTAGTTGTTGTTATTCCCATTCTACAGGTGGCCAGACTATGGTTCAGAGATGTTATGTATAACCACCCACGGTTTGCTTGAAAGAAGAGGGGCTCTTGACTATATAGCAGGGAGGCATCAGATGACAGATTTGTTCTGGGACACTGGAAACTAATGTTGTTTTATACATCCAAACTTGGCTGTGCTCAAGCACATGTCTGATGATTGGCTGGCTGTTGGCTGGGGGGCTCTGGTTCTCCTGGGTCTCCATGATCTCGTAGGCTAGCTGAAGTTCACGCATCTGGTGGCTGCAAGGTTTCAAGAGCATGAGAGTAGAAGCGGCTGGGCTACTCGAGCCCTGGGCTTGGACCTTGTATAATGCCACTTCCTCATCTGTTGGTCAAGTCAAGTCACAAGCTAGCCCAGGGCAGGAAAATAGGTCCCCCCGATAGACCATTTTGTCAACAGACAGAACCTCTTGATGGGAGGAACAAAGGATTGTGGTGATTTTCTGCCATCTAGCACAGCTTATCAATAATAAAGTGATATCCCTTACTAGCAAGACTTATTACTGAATATGATATGTACATAGGAAGCAAAATAGATACCAAAGGGCTGTCTTTTCTCCCCCGATTCTTATTTTGCCAGAATTTTGTTCGCTGGATGAATGGCAGCTGCATAGAATGCCCACCTCAGAAGGGAATGGAAGAAGACTTGTTACAATCAGCTTTTACAATAATATTTCTCAGAACCCTCAGATAATTGAGCAGGTTGTTATGACCCCCCAAAACGTCCACAGGATTCTGATCAATCTTATGAAGTACCTGCAGAAATGCAAGCAGTACCGACCGTTCTGGAAACTGGACAAAGCGATCGTGATGGAGAAGTTTGCCGCCAAGAAGCCCCCTTGTGTCGCCTATGACGAGAAGTTGCAGTTCTATTCCAGTATCACCTCTGAAGTGATGCATCACCCCTTGATCAAGGATGAGCACTGCATCCACCTTCCGCTCGGACCCCTGGCGAACACCATGCAGGAAAACGTCAAGGTTTAAAGTTAGAATGGGGAGAATGTCATTAGGGATATTTTTACTGACAGCAAAAAGTATCAAGTGAAGACACAAACAATAAAAAGGAGACCCAAGAACTCAGAATTCAGGGTAGGGACAAAGAAAATGATGTACCCCAGTTCCTAGGGGCACCACTACATTTTAGTTATGATAGGGGATATTCTTAATGGGAACCCTGTGTCTTCAGTGGAAAACTGGATTATGGTCAATATCTGTTTAAGGTTAGAGACAATGTGATATATATTTTTACAAGAACTTTTGAAGAACATAATTTTATATTTCTTTGTGTTTTTGACATTTAAAGAATTAATTAAATGAGTTAATAATGGTAGACAAAGTGATTTAGACCAATGCTCCTACTGAGAACAGCTACAGCAGCTAGACAAAATAGTTTTAAAATTTACTTGAAGTCATCAGGGAGCTAACAAGACAGCAATAAATTTCTTTACCACAGCTGAGACCTAGAAAAGTAAGAGTGGCATTTGGGTGTTTGCCCATTCTGGAGGGGTCAGCTGAGAGTCCAAGAAGCTAAACAACTCTTTTGACAGCCTTGTGAGACTAAGAGACATAGATTGGAGCTCCAGGCTTACCAAGGGGTGAACCCTCTCTCTTTGGGCAGGCACCCCAAAAGGGCTATACATCCTAGGAGTTAGGGGTGAACCAGAAGAAGACAACTCAGTTTCTAATCACTCAGTCCTTAAAATTGAAGTAGGTGATTCTGTATTATTAGTGCCCCAGGCACCTGGCAGACACAAATGTCAATCCTTTCCAAAGAAGGTAACATCATTCTACACCTCAGATTATTTTTACAAACAAGACTGTAAATACAATGTCTAACACATAATTGAAAATACCTATACACATGAGGAGTCAGATAACAATTTTTAAAACATCAGAAATGATAAATAGAAACAGACCTAGAAAAGCTGCTTGTATTAGAGTTATCAGTAAAGATTTAAAGTAACTATGCTAGCTATGTTCCAGGAGATTGTTGTGGTTACTATTGCTGTTTAACAAATTACCCCCAGAACTTAGTGGTATAAACAACAATTTTGTTGTCTCGTGATCTCGTGGGTCAGGAATTCAGGAGGGGCTCGGCTGGGCAGTTCTCACTGCAGGGTCTCTCATATAGTTGCTGTCAGATGTCAGCTAGGGCTGGACATCCAAGACAGCTCCCTCACATGGCTAGCAGTTGGCACTGGTCATTGGCTGGGAGCCCAGGTAGTGTTGTTGACCAGTGTCCTATGTGTGGCTTCTCCAGCATGGCAGTCTCAAGGTAGTTGGATGTCTTACATGGCAGTTGGCTTCCTCCGGAGTAAGTGTCCCAAAAGAGCTAGGCAGAAGATTCAGGGCCTTCTCTGACCTAGCCTCAGAAGTCACACAGCATCACCTCTGCTAAATTCTACTGGGCACAAAAAACAGCCCATATTCAAGGGGAGGAAACACAGACCTCCCCCCACTACTTCTCAGTGGGAGGAGTGTTGAAAATTTTGCAGTCAAATTTTTAAAATTCCACAGAGGCAAAAAAGTTAAGTTGCTATTGTTGAGAAAATTCCAGTAGATTGAAGATCTCGTCTGAATAATGAGATATTCTAGGTTTTATCCAAATGAGCTGTGTATCACCCCCCAGGAGGACCTCACAAGCCTGTCTGGGCCACATCACATGAACATCTTCATGACACAATGCACTGCTAGAGACGGTCAAGAAACAGGGGTTGCCCCAGCTCCACATCCACACTCACAACGACATCCCTTTGCCCTCACACCTCCTGAGGCCTCTGTTTCCCCCACAAGTGGCAAGGAACCTTCTCAGAAAGCCCAAGAATCTTTAAAGCATGCAGTGACAGAATTAGAAATGATCTACCCCAGGGCTTCCCAAACCCAGCTGAACCTTAGAACACCAGCTAAAATGGAAGATTCTCAGACTGGGAAAAGAGATTCACAACTTCGAAACCTGCCAGGGATTAGAATCTAAAATGGTCAATGAACTTCTTTTATCAACAAGAAAAAGACAGGAAATCCAATAGAAAAAAAAATGAGCAAAAATATATGAACAGGCATGCCACAAAAGAGGAAGTACAATGGCCAAGGATATGAAGAGATGGATCAATTCATTAGTCATCAGAGAGCTGCATACTTCAAACAACAATATGTCTCTCCACACACAACTGAATGGCACAAAGTAGAAAGGTGGATTATACCCACTGTGAGGAGATGAGACTCCTGTGTCCTGCAGATGGGAGGATAAGCTTATATATCCATCCTGAGAGTGGCAATCTGGCAATATTTAGTGAAACTAAGTACGCACACACCTGACATCCCAGAATCCCACAAATGGGTAAATAGCCTGGAAAAACGATTATATAGGGTGGAAAGAGGACATGTACAGGGTACTCATGACAGCAAAATCTAGCGTAGTGGGGAATTGGAAGCAGCCTAAGTGTCCATCCCTGGGGGAGTGGATAAGTAAGATATGGCAGCTCCCTTCCACATGGTGGTTAGAAACAAGCCAGAGGCATGTACCAGGATACACAGATCTTCACAGCAGTGCTGAATGAAAAAAGTAAGAAAAAGAGGAGAGTTATAGCATAACACCATTTATATAAATGATAAAACATGCAGAAAGGTCTTCTCTGGTGGCGCAGTAGTGGAGAGTCCGCCTGCCGATGCAGGGGACACGGGTTCGTGCCCCGGTCCGGGTGGATCCCACATGCCGCGGAGCGGCTGGGCCCTTGAGCCATGGCCGCTGAGCCTGTGCGTCCGGAGCCTGTGCTCCACAACGGGCGAGGCCACAGCGGTGAGAGGCCTGCGTACTAAAAAAAAAAAAAAAAAAAAGTGCAGAAAACAACACGACCCAGTATACAAAGATGCATATTTCAAGACCAATATCAAGCACATAGAATGAGGGTCTGGAGGCAGGGGGCTGGGGATGGTGAGAAATGGGAGTGGAGATCAGGGGTGAAGGAGAAAAATAAAATGAAAAATAACGTTAAAGGGGGCTTTGAACAGAACAATGATGATAGTATAATTAGTTCAATTGTCTGCATCTGGGATAAAAATAAATAAGTAAAGCAGATTTCTAGACTGAACTTCAGTAGGGCTGCCATGAGCCCAAAATTATGGGTCCTGGTGATTCTGCTAATGCCCTCTGCAGCATCCTAGATAGACGTCATCAGTGGCTACTCGAATACACCCAGTGGTGCAGAGTTCAAACCTGTACCAATTATTAGAAAGTACTTTTATTATATTATATTGTTAAATTATGTAGTACAATATTTATATATTATATTATTATTATATAATTCAGTTCTAATGATTAGAAAGGTCTTGCCGAGGCCAAAATTCATCTCCTTGTACCTTCCAAACCATCAATCCAAGTGTTTTATTCTTTGGAGCAAATATGATAATCAGGTCTCTCCTGCTTCTACATGCCAGCCCTCCATTGACCCTCTGTCTTTAGCATCTACCCCACCTCCACTCTAGCCAAGCTGTCCCCTCAGGTCTGATCTAGCTACCAGTGCTTCTCCTCCCTCAGAGAGGCCCCACATTCTGGGTACAGCCTGACCAGCTCAGAGTATAGCAGGACATACATCTCCTCCTTTATCCTGGGTCCTATGCTCCTATTAATACAACCTCAGATTATGGTTGCTTTTTTTCTTTTTTTTTTTAAGCAATTCTCAGTGAGTTTATGGTTAACCAAACTTCCATGTCTTTTTCAATAGAATTTTTATAAAGCTTGCTCCATCCACTTCCCCCTACACACACACACACACACACACACACACACACACACTCTCATATATGCATTTGGCCAATGTATGAGCCATCCACTGGAATTTGGCCAAGAGTTCATTTTACCAGATTTTGAACACGGACTTTCAAAATGGAGTTTGTTTCAGCACCCTCTCCACCCCCAGTGCCCCGCTGCTGCCTCCACGCAAGCCTGGCCATGATGGTTCGGAAGGGGCCCCTCTTCCCAGCCTTGCATATTTCCTGGCTCTCAGTGCCTCCCAGAGTGTAAAGCCATGGAATCCTTCCTTTCCTGGAGTCCAGGATGCCCATCACCCATAGGCCCCACTTCCTTGGGTTCACTGATGAGCGAGCGCTCACAAAGAGAAGCCACTGTCATTTCCAGCTGGCGCGCGCATGAGCAAGGACCCCACTCACCTCGGCCAGATTTGTTCAACAATCACATGTTATGGGCATGTTTTGGGCCCGACTCTGCCCTAGGCACTAGGAATACAAAGGAATCCAGCCCAGCTCCTGCCCTGGAGGAAACGCACAGAGACTTGGCCGCCACTGGCTGCCACGACGGGTTGTGATCAGGCAGCTGCAAGAGCTCGGGCTGTGGGGCTGGCCTCTTCTGCAGGTTTTCTCTCTGCCAGTTTCACGACATCTATCAGGAGCACATCCTCCCATCCTGCCAGCTCTGAATTCTGAGATGCATAGAGCCTTTATCTGATGAGGCAGCCTGAGCATGTGTCCCCAAAGGCATCACTTCCAGTCTCAAACATCTCAAAGGGAGGCAAACGGGACATAGGTGCTGTTGGGCAGAGCCAGGACACCAGTCCAGGGTCTTCCTATTGTTCCCTAAGCACACCCACCCCACCCCGCCTCCACCCCACCCCTTGCCCACTTCTGTCTGCTGTTCTCTGGAAGGGAGAGAAGTAGGAGGGGACCTCCCTCTGTACCAGGCACTGTGCTTGGGGGTGAGAGATGTGCACAGGTGGTTGTGCATTTCCCCCAGGCTTGTCTGTGCTTGGGGGTGAGAGATGTGCACAGGTGGTTGTCAGTCAAGGGCAAGGTGCACTGTGCCCAGGTGAGAGATATAGTTCCTGGGCATTGCGTTCAGAGGAAAGGCCACCCAGCTGTGAACAGTGGTGACATTGTGTGAACTGGTGAATTTACAGAGCACTTTGCAGCTTTCCTGCCCCTTATCCTCTCACCTCCCGTGAGCCAGCAGGCAGGGAGGCAGCGTC